GCGGCCATCCCCAGCGTCCCCCAGAGCCACCCGCGGCTCCCAGCTGAGCCAGTGCCACGTTGCAAATGCTGAGATTAAACACCAGAAGAAAGGAGAAGGAGAACACGACCATTAGTCACTTCCCCATGAAATGCAAGCTGGCTGCAGCCTTGAACTTGAACCAACTCGGGCAGGGCTCAGAGCAGGACCGGAGAAGCTCCCAGCACCGTGCAGGATGGACCAGCCCCACACCAGCCCCATGCAACCGGGGCTTCGTGGCTCCGCGAACGCAGTCGCCTCCCCAGCTCGACGCAGTCATGCCCCAGGGGCCGGCCCCGCTCTGCTCCCCCCGCAGCTCCCCCAGCACGGGTGATGGGAAGCTGATGGGGGCAAGCACTGGCACGGGGCACTCCAGAAGGCTCCCATTCCCCGAAAAGCACGAAACTTCCGCACACTTGCGGAAACCCCGGTTATTTTTGTAGTGTTGGTTATTGCAAGCGGCAAGAGGGGAAGTGGTGCCCTCCAGATTTTAGGTCTATCAGTTCCTTGTGGCTGTTGAGCAAGCAGCTCCCGAAAAGGTGCCGAGAGCCTCCGATGAAAGCCAGAGCCCCCCGGGAATGGGCGCGCATCAGCCCCAGGACCGACAGAGCGGGGTTACAGCATCCCATCCCCCCGGGCACCCCTCTGCAAGGCAAACAGCGCTGGGCTGGGTGCTCCCTGGGACCTATGGGACCTCGGGTGCTCCACTCGGATTGAGCAAGTTGGATGCCGGAGGGGGGATGTTTCCTGCAAGCGAGGTTGATAACACTTTCCCACGGATCGTTTTTTCAGCCAAGGGCTAAGAAGGGAAGAGCAGCGTCTGCTTCCCGTATCTACTGCCACCACGTGAAGCTCCAAGCAGCCCTTAGGGCTTGGTCTCTAGGGAAGTTGGTGGCTGGAGGCAGCTTCAGCACTTCCAGGAGTAATTTGGGATGAGAAAACCATGGGTGGAGGGGAGAAACCCCGCCAGCCTCCGAGGCGGTCCATTGGTGACGTCACGGACAAGGTTTGTTCCCTCCCGTCTCATTCCAGGTCTGGAAATGGGCACAGAGGGATGGGAGAGGAGGGCTCTCGCTCTGCTGCTAGCGTGGGATGGTTGGGAAGCCGCATCCCATGTTTTCCCAAGCACTGGCCGCTGTCACGATGAATCGGCAGAGTGGAAGCTGTCTTGACCTTTAGTTTCTAAATAAAAGGCAAACAGGCTGGGTCAGGTGAGCGAAAAGCAGCTCTTGCCCCATCGCAGCGGGAATCACATTTTTCTTCCTTTGCTGCAAGTTTACAGCATCTGCCAAAAATGAGACTCCTGCTCCACTTGGACAAAGATGCTTCTGCTTTGACGGCAGCCACGGTCAACAATTAACTTGAATTCCCA